ATCATGAATGAGAGATATATCTATGCACATATGCTTACTTGCACCAGTATCTAGTACCCAAGAACCTCTATTTATGCCTTAAATTGTACTTAATGCATAATGTGTAGAATCAATACCTGCTGAGTTGACAAAATGAACATAATCTGACTCAGTCACCTCATTTGTCCCCTTTGAACCAAAAAAAATTCATCAACTCTTGTTGAATGATTGAAGACAAGTCACCATGAGCTCCTGATCCTTGAGAACTGTTTTCTGAAGTGGAGGATTGAACTTCTGCTTTCTCAATAGCCACATTTGCATATCCCTTAGGCCTTTGCTGTTCCTTTAGTTTGTTGTACCAATCAAGTACACCATGCAGTTTGAAACACTCTGCCATCTCATGTCCTGGTATATTGCAATACTCACATATCAACTTTGCCTTCTCTTCCTTAGTCCTCCTGTAGCCTCCTCTGCCCCTATTAGGTCCCTTGTTGTTCACAAATTGTCCTCCTCTCCTTGAATAACCTCTTCTAGAGGTATTTCTCACCATAGCCGAACTTTCAAATTGGACTATTGTATACAAAACTTGTAGCTTTCTATTGCTCTACCCTCACCAACATAGAGAAAGCGTTGTCCACTTCAGGTAGAGGTTCCATAAGAAGTATCTGTGACCTTACAAGCTCATAGACATCATGTAGACCAATGAGGAAACTGCATCAGCTTAATTTGATTTTCATTCTCAATTACATTCTTTCTTATTGCACAATTACAAACAGTAGGACTCTTTAGATTGTCAAATTGATCCCACAGACGTTTGATCCTGGAAAAATACTCCGTAACACTGTCATGACCTTGAACAATGCTAGCAATCTCTCTCTCTCTGCAACATATACAATAATGGTCCATTGCTTTGACCATACCTCTTAGTTATGCTCTCCCAAAGTTCTTTAGCATTGTTCACATAAACAAAACTTTCAACAATATCCTTAGACAGTGTATTCAGGATCCACGAGGTAATCATATAATCTATTTTCTTCCAAGCATCATAGTTCTCATCCATTTCATCTGGTTCGGGGATCTTACCATTTACGAAACCGAGCTTTGATTTAGCTCCAAGCGCGATCGTCATCGCCTTTCTCCATGGAAGGTAGTTAGCTCCTGTTAGCGGATGCGATACTAAGATCATGCCTGGATTATCCAAGTTTTGAAGTTGAATCAGATCCTCGACGCCGAGATTCGACTTAGCTGTAGATCCCTTTCCATCGCCGGCGGTGAGTAGCGGCCAGTTCGCATTGTTCCAAGGATTCGCCATGCTCAATTAGATCTACCTACGCTCTTGATACCATGTGAATTGATAAAAAAAACAAAACATATAAAGTATCTAAAGAAAGAATAGAGAGCTCAGAAATGTTTCACCATCGCCATATTTTCATTAAGCTAAAAAATGTGAAGAAGACGACAACAAATAGTATCA